TTTTTTTTTTTTTAGTAGTACATGTTTGCAGTCCATAATGTTTACATTCCTTGTGTAAAGTTGGTACATGTTCATAACACAGTTCTTCACCCCCTTTATCTCCATCTTGAAAACTTTCTTCATACCCTTTCCATTTGAAAACTATCTTCCTACTTCTTATTATTTGTTTTATTTTGCTATTTATATTTTTGGTTTCTCATATAAAAGAAATCATGTGATATGTATGTCTGATTTATTTCACTTAACATGTGGTTTCATCCACTTTCCTGCAAATGGCTCAAAGTTATCCTTATGGTAGAGTAGTAACCCACTGTTTATATATATATATATATACCACATTTTCTCTATCCATTCATCTGTTAATGGACATACAGGCTGTTAACAAGATTTAGCTACTATGAATTATGCTGCTATAAACATGGGTATGCATACATCACTGTAATATGATGTCTTTAATTCTTTTGGGAAGATACCCAGAAGGGCACTAGCTGGATTAAGTAGAATTTCTGTGTTCAGTTGAGTCTTCATAATGATTTCCATAGTGGTACTAGTTTGCTTCTTCACCAACAGTATAGAAGGGTTCCTTTCCCCTGCAGCCTTGCTAGCATTTATTATTTGCCTTCTTGATAGCCATTCCTTCTGGAGTAGGATGGAATTTCAGTGTTATTTTCATTTGCATTTCTCTAATGGCCATCAAGGTTGAACATTTTTTCATGTATTTGTTGGTCACTTTTCCTTCTGAGAAGTGTCTTCATTTCAGTTGCTGATTGTTGAATATCATTCTATTTGAATAAAAGGATTATTTCAAAAATTCCTTTATATTGATGGCTGTAAAATGATGAATTAAAATAAAATAAGACGAAAGGAATTACTACATACTTGTGTGAAAAACATTTCAGTACATTTAAGCATGTGTAAGAGTTCAGAATTTTAATGTCATTTCTTTGTATCAGTATCAGTATTCACTGTATAGCTATTTGTTCTGATAAAGCTCTTATTTTTCATTTATTTATTTTTACCACTTTTGCTTTTTCTGCTGAGTATTTCAGGTACAGACATGGATGCCTGCCTACCAACAGTGCCCTCCTGTATGCATATTCATTTTTTCCTGGATAGGTATCTTCGAGGTTGAATTGCTAGGTCATGTAGTAACTGTTTAAACTTTTGAGGATCTGACAAAACTTTCCCAAGTGGCTGCATTGTTTTATAATCCTACCAGCAGTGTATCAGAGTTCCAGTTTGTCCACATCTTCATGAGTACTTGTTAAGGTGCTACCTCCTTGTGGTTTTTCTTTGCATTTCCCTGATGACTGATAATATTTGTTGAGCATCTTTTATGGGCATATTGGCTGCTTGTGCAACTTTGGAGACTGTTCAGATGCTTTGCCCATTTTTATTGGGTCCTCTTATTTATTGAATTGTAAAAATTTTTACACAATAAATACAAGATAGATACACAGTCAACGAAAATTCTTTTCCATTCTGTCAGTTTTCACTTTAACTTCTCAGCATGGAAGTTAATTTTGGTGAATGTGAAGTTAAACAGTATTAACCTTTTAAATTGAAGACCGTGTTAATTCAGAAAAATTCAGAATAATTCCTATTGCATTTTTTCTTTTGTTGGTTTTGGTGTCATTTCTAAGAAAGTATTACCTAATCTAAGGTTACAAAAGTTTATACCTGTTTTCTTCAAAGAATTTTATGAGTTTTATCTCTCGTTTAGGTCTTTGATTAATTATGAGTTAATTTTTTACATGTGGCTTTCCAGTTATTGCAGCACTATCTATTGAAAGAGACTGTTCTTTCCCTCATTGAATTGTATTAGTACCTTTGATATGGTTGTACATATGAGAGTTTTTTCCTTTACTTTTATTTCCATTGATTTATATGTGTCTGTCCTTATCCTAGCACCATACTGTCTGGGTTACTATAGCTTTGTAGCCATGGCATAGCTCTTTGATTGGTTTCTGTGTATATTTTCTGCGAAATGCTTTAATGACAAACTAATTGTTCTGAGATTTTTCAATCAGCAAACTGTTGACATATGCTTATGTAATAGTTTCACCCAGGCAAAGCCATTTAATTCCAAATTTGTTTTCATAATGTCCTCTAATTCCTAGTTCTTTATACTTCCCTCGATAAGTTCATTATACTGTTAATAATCTGATTGTTCAAGGTCTGATTATACTACTTTTGTGGGACAGAGTCTCACGGGTTTTACCCATCACTACTGCCATATTTGTGACTATTGTATTTCTCTTTCCAAGATTCTGCTTTTGGAAAAGTGAAGCTAATTAACTTGATAAATAAATTATGTCAGGATATTAGTGGGTGATGTGAGGAATTTTGGCATCAGGAAAACCTTTGTTATTCACCGTCAACAAAAACATATGAATTGTTTTACTGTGTTCATGTTCATCTCTTGTAGGAAGTATCTCATTACAGATACTCAGTGGGATGGCGCACTGTTTCTGTGGTATGTAAAAGCAGTCTTTGATAATCACTGTATTTATTTGTAAGTTCCTGGAAGAGATAAACACTATCATTCTTGCTTATATTCATAATGTCTGGCCTGCATCTAGTACATTATAAATTATCAATGAATGTAAATGTGTGAGGAGTTGGTGGCTTTTAAAATTGAAAAAGTGTGCAGGTTCAAACAATGCAAAAGGGTAGACAGTGTACAATAAGTCTGCCCTAAAAGCATTCAATGTTAACAGCTTTCCAGATCTTCCATGAGTGTATATTTTCTTTGCACCAAAGAAACATTGTAGTATATGACCTCTGTGGCTGTGGCACTTTTCTTTTTTCTCATATAGTTTGAAGTAATTTTTTTTAACCAGTGATTATACATTTACTCCATTTCTGTCAGGAATTGTGTTTTCTATTGTATGGTGTACCATTATTGAACAAATCTATTAATGGGCCTACTAAAATAAAGTTGCAACAAACACTGAACCTGGGTCTTTGCCCTGCATGTGTTTATCAATAATGTAAATTTCTAAGAGTGAAATCTCCAGGTAAAAGTTTCTCCATTTAAAATTTTATACATGTTGACAAAGCATTTGCCCTCCAAAGAGAAGCATATCAGTTTATACTCCCATAAAGTAGTGTTTCTTTCCTGACCCCTTCAATCCCACTGAATACTTTAAAACTCTTTCATTCTTACCAATCTGATGAGTTAAAAATGTAACAAGTATATTTATTTCCTTTGCCCATTTTTACTTGTGGATTATTGGTATAAATAATACTGGAGACCACTCTTATATTAAGGAAATTACCTCTTTGTCGTATTATAGTATTCTGTATATTTTCCTAGTTTATCTCTCTCTCTCTTTTTTTTTTTTTTTTTACTTTTAAAAATTTCTGCAGTGTTTTATGTTATCATTAAATGCATCAGTCTTTCTGGTTATGGCTTCTGACCCTCAAGAATATTGAGAAGTCCAAGTCCTGGTACTGCTATTACAGTTCAGTTCAACTCAAAATATTTGCCAAGTATGCATCTTGAGTAACTGTGGAGGAGCATGGATGAATAAGTCACCATCCTGGTTCTCAAAAAACTTCCCTGTGCTGCAAAAGAATGAAATAGCACTGCAGTAGGAATAATAGGACACTCTTAAGAGGGTAAGCAGTTTTCTTAAGCTAAAAGGTCACACACGTGCCATATTTGTAAAGCTTTTACTGATTGAAAGAGTATGTAAAGGAAAGCAGCAAGAGAAAACTAG